GCCACCTCGTTCCACATTTTCTTAACTTACTCTAATATGATGTGATGATTGACTCATTGGTTTCATCTAGATCCTTATAATGATGTTTCTGGAATACTGGGTTTTATTAAATTAAAAATGAAATTTTTGGGTCTTATTTTTGGGATATTACATTTTTACATGGCCAACATGTAATCCCACTTTAAAAAATTATATTTTTTTGCCTAGATTTGAAATTTTCTTACAAATTTGGTATAAAATTTACATTTTTTGCCCAGATTTCTAAATTTTGTTACAAGTTCATCTTAAATTTAGTTTTTTACATCTTTTTTTGCAAAAAAATTGTTTCGAATATGTTTTCCTATGTACTAAATCATATTTATACAAAAAAACATATTTCACATGAAAATCCTTCTTTTTTTAATATAAAAATCTTTTTTAAACATTTTTGTAGGCAAAATATCTATTTAAAAACTTTTTTTTAGAAGACATTTTTTTATGAAAAATACCAATTTATAAATATATATATTTTTATTTTAAATACCTATTTATAAAAACATAGTTATGTAAAAATGCGTGAAATACACTTATGTAAAATATGTTATTATATTCAAATATACCATAAAAAAAACTTTTATAAAATAGGTATTTATTAAGTACATAAAAAATATTTCATGTGAATATAAATACATAAATATATACAAAACCGTTTTTATAAAAAGAAATATATACAAACACGTATTTTATAAAAACAAAAAAATGTATACAGACACTTATTTTATAATAAAAATATTTGTATACAAACACATTTATATATATATATATACACACACACACACACACAAACACAAACATGTATTTTATAAAAATGTATACAAACACATGTAACATCTTGTTTCCTGTCATTTCTTATTTCAGAATCGTGAGCCAGAAGTCGATCGTTTAAAGGCTTTGGGACTTAAGGAGGTAATGTTTAGACCTTTTGGAAGGAGGCGATGATGGTTGCAAGTTCTTAACCTTTGAATTGTATTTTGGTCTGAAGGGTAGAAAGGGGAAAGTCATAGGTTGGTTTCTTGCATGAAATATGGATTTTTGTTCGAGATATCTAGATAATATTGTGCGGTTCTTCAATACCTTTCTGTGGATATAAAGATCATCAAAAACGGAGTTGGAATGAAAAAGTAGTGACCATTAGAAGTTAGGAAGGTTTTGGGTTTAGTCTAGTACGTTGGGCGTACTAGGCATGGATGATCGCGTGGATTCAACTTGGTACGATAGGTGTACCAGAAGCATGCTGGGCATACACGATCAGAATCCAAACCCTAATTTTGGGGTTTTAAGCCCTATTTAAGCTCTTTAACTTCCCCAAACCCTTTCCATTCTCAGCCTCCAACACTCCAACGTCCTCCCTTGAAACCGTAACCCTAGTTTAAGCCTTGTGAGCAAAAGAAGGTGTTTTGAGTGCTTTGGAGTGTTCTCGGTGCATCTTGGAGAAGAAGGAGCTCATCGAAGAAGTGGTGGTTGCATTGGAGCTTGTAGATCCAGACCTTGTTCACCTTGATCTTTCTTCTGGAGGTATAAATCTTGAATCTTGATGATGCATTTGTTAGATCTAGCTAGTTTCGAGTATTATGAGCTTTTGGTCACTTTAGTGCATAAAGTTTAGATCTTGAAAGTTTGTGACCTTGTTATGGATAAAGTTGGAAACTTTATCAATCTAATCATCATATTGGTTCATATCTGAAGGTTGGAGACATGGACTTAATGGATTAAGTTGATAAATTTGAGACTTAAAGACTAGATCTTTGTTGTGTGGACCATTCTAATGGATAAAGTTGTAAACTTTATCAATTATGGAACTTTTAGGAACCATAAAAATGTGATCTTGGTCCTTTTATCCCTTCCATGCAAGATTTATGATGTCTTAATGGATGTTTATCGTATGGGGTATTTTGGGGGAACTCACTAGGCATTGTGTTTACCCGGTTGTTTATGTTTTTCAGATTTTATCGGTGATTCGTGGGAAGGCGAAGACAGGATTGTACACACTCATCAACAGTATTGAGGATTCCACATTTCTTATAGTACTCTGATTTTTAATATATGTATTTTGGAATAAACGGTTTTTCTTAATAATGGATTTATAATTTGGAAGTTTTACTTTAATAAAATGAAACTTTTTGGTTGTGAAATATATATATATATATATATATATATATATATATATATATATATATACACACACACACACAAACAAACAACTATTCTATAGTAAACGTGTATATATATATATATATATATATATATATATATATATATATATATATATAACAGATTTGTATATATTTATGCATTTATATGCACACAAAATGGTTTTTATGTACTTAATACATACATATTTATATAAAAGTTTTTTAAGGTATATATGGGTATAATAACGTATTTTACATAGTTGTATTTCATGCATTTTTAAATAACCACGTTTTTATAAATAGGTATGTAATTTTTTTTAAATGCTTTTTATAAACTTATCTTGGTCCTTTAGGTCATTTTGGTGCAATAAAGTTTAGATCTCGAAGGATTGTGACATTAATATGGATAAAGTTGGAAACTTTATCCATTTAGACATCTTTTTGATTCAGATCTAAAAGTGGGCGACTTGGACTTAATGGATTCGGTTGAGAAAGATGCATTTTTGGGTCCCTTTAAGACTTAAAGTCTAGATCTTGGTGGTTTGGACCATCTTAATGGATAAAATTGGAAAACTTATCCATTATGAAGCCATTAGGAATCAGATCTGATGTTTTAGCTTTGGTCCTTATGAATTAAGCTTTTTTTTTTTTAAGAAAAGGCTTTCAGACTGAGGACCACAACGTGGCTAAGGAAGGCCACAACATGGTGACGAGACTTATCACTTTTTTTTTCCTTTACGTGCTCACGGCGTGGTGACATGTCTGCCACAACGTGGTAGCAGATTTTGATCGGGATTGGATTGAGTGGCCACGGCATGGCCATGGGTTGGCCACGACGTGGGTGTCAACTGGATTAACTTTGACCGTTGACTTTTTGACTTTTTGACTAGTTGACTTTTGGTCAACCTTGAGTAGAATTAAGCATTTGGCTAAGGATTGATTCGGTTTTGGCTTTAGGCAGCTTGGGTTGACTGTTCTGTTGCTGAGGTGACGGTTGAGCTTCCGATGAGTAGTTCAGCTGAGTTTGCTCACTATAATGTAGGACACTAGGGATTGTATGTGCTTGTAGTCTTTGTGAATCCTATTGTATGCATGTGTGCCTTTTTGCTATATATACGTGGGGTGAAATAGACCTGGTACAACCTTATGCTGACATATGAGTTGAAATAGACTCGGGGGTGAAATAGACCCTGGGGTGAAATAAACCCGGTACATCCTTGTTCTGACATATGAGTTGAAATGGACTCGAGGGTGAAATAGACCCGATACAACCTTGAGCTGACATATATGTATGGTAGCGGTATTTTGGGGAACTCACTAAGCTTTGTGCTTACGGTTTTGTGGTTTAAACATTTTCACGTACTTCCAGTTTTAAAAAGAAGAGTCTGACTTGATCGCACTGCATCCCCTGAAGATTTATTCCGCAATGATTATTTATGATTTTACTTTGATGTTTTGAGAATACTTATACTCTAATCGTCTTTTGAGATAATGTATGAATGCTTTTGACTTATTTAAAATAAAAGTTTTACTCGGTATTTTTAGGACGTTACACAATTCTTAAAGAATTATGGTTGTTGCATCTAGAAGACAATGATGTTTTTGTAAGTGTGGATGAAGGAGACAAGTTTTCAAACATGGTTGCTCAATGCTCATGAATTTTGATTTTGAGGAAGACAGAGAGATGAAATAAGTTTTATTTATGGATTGGGAGATTTTTGTAGGACCTTCTTGTACTCTGTAGCCTTTACGAAACATATTGTAAAAAGAAAAGGTTTATTAAAGGGAAAATGATACAGTGTGGTTACTCGGGTTGACAACGTTCGACATCGCTTCCTCTCCCATTTACAAACTCATTAGGTGGCGGCAACTGTTATGTTTCACTGTCGTCGTGACCCAATAACCTGCTTCGATCTCACTCACTTTCTCCCTCTAACTATTTCTCTCTATCTACTCACAAAGGAAGCACAAACACCGTCACATGAGGTTTTCAAGATGAGATTGAATGGGTACCCGACGAGAGAAGGACTTTCGATTGACAAATTCTTAAAGAGGATCGAATGGATATTGGAAAAGAAACGTTGCGGGGAGGTTTGTATCAAAGGAGGGGAGGATCAGAACAAATGATGGTGTTGCCAGAGAAGAAGGATGCGCGAAGACAAAGAAGAGACATGGTGTGAAGGAGGCTACTAAATGACTAATCTAGGGTTATTATGAGTTTATATATATATATATATATATATATATATATATATATATATATATATATATATATATATATATATATTATCCATGTGTAAATGACATCGTCTACATGTCGCCACATGGCTCCAAAAAAATATATAAAAAATTAATTTAAAAATTCAGATCATCAAAATAACCGACTCTTCCTACATCAGATCATATAACAGTGTAATCGACAGAAAAATTTTAAGAGAAATTAAATATCCTCCTACTTTTCTTCCTACATATCCTCCTACCCATTTGAAATGATGACAAGTGTACTAAATTAATGATAATCTTATCCAAATATGACACATGTCACCATTTTACATGGGTAGGAACATAAGCAGGAAGGAAATGTAGGAGGATATTTAATTTCTCAAACTTTAATGACATGTTATGTAAAAGAAAAAAATTAGTTATGCAATTTTCCTTCGTTTTATAGATTTGTTGGGCCAAAATATGTGGCATCTCTCTCTGCTCGGCCCAAGAACTTAATCTGGCTGTAGCATGGGAGAAATGGGCGTTTGGTATTATCTTTAACCTCGAACCTCCACTGTGTAATAGTGTAATTTGGTGGGTATTTGCTATTGCTAAGCTGAGATCCTGAAAGGGGATGGCCCAATTGGAATAAGGTTTTGTTTCAGTGAGTGAATCGATTTCTATTCTATTCTATTCTCTGAGCTCTCGACTCTTGTTCACGAACACCACCCACGAAAGACAAGAAACCACACAGGGTTTTAGAAGATGCAGCGATTCAAATCTTTATCAGCACTCAGACGTTCGTTTCAGAGGCAGTCTCACAGTTGCTACTCCACCATTTCTGCTCAACGCGACAACTACCCTCAACACCACCGTTTTGAAGAAGATGTATCTCTCTCCCTCTCTTGCTATTTCAACTTTTTAATTCTCATTTTAACTTACACTTGTTGTATTTCTGCAATGATGTTTTTTGCAATTACAGGTTTTAGTGGAAGGAAGAGCTTTCTCGAGAGCTGCCATACTCAATAGACCATCTCAACTCAATGCTATTACTACATCTATGGTTTCATCCTCTTTCTCTTTCCTTTTCCTTCCAAGCAAAAATTTAGGATCATAGAGTAGAGTCGTGGCAAACTTTTGGGCATTTTTCTAGCTTTTGTTGAAAAATTGGAAGAACTGCATTCTTATCATTTACAAAATACTTGTTACATTGCTGATTGAGAACCTTGATCCATATATGAATCTCATGTGTTGCCTTGTTCTCAATGATTTTTTTTTTCACTGAGCAATGTTTAGATACTCAAACATTGTTTAAATTTTGAATGTAGGCTGGTCGATTACAAAGACTTTATGAGTCATGGGAGGATAACTCACAAATTGGATTTGTCATGATGCAGGTATTTCATGTTTCACTGAAATTTTTTCCTTCTTTATGTTAGGGTTTGTTTCTGTTTGTATCTCTAAATGTCATTTGGATTTCTTGAAGGGTAGTGGTAGGGCATTTTGTTCTGGTGCAGACATGGTAACCATCTATCGATTACTTCAAGAAGGTGTGCATCACTCTTTTATCTTCTTTTACATTTTCAAATGTTTAATTATTTGTGCAATTGCAAAGCAGCTAGGCTATAGAGATCAAGTTATTAATTTTCTTGCTAACTTGCTACTTGTATTATAAACAGGCAATGTTACTGAGTGCAAAGAACTTTTCAGGACATTGTATCAGTTTATATACCTTTTAGGAACATACTTAAAGCCAAATGTGAGTATTCAACTTTCTTCTTCTTCTTCTTCTTCTTCTTCTCTCTTTCTTATGACTATTTGACTATTTGACCATTGAGTATTGATGATTTAACAGTTGGCTATCTTGGATGGTATCACAATGGGTGGTGGTGCAGGAATTGCTGTTCCTGGAATGTTTAGGATTGCAACTGACAAAACGGTGTGCATTGCTACCTCTCTTTAATTAAATTATTGACTCATTTACCCTTGTATAAACCTCATGAAATGAATTGCAGGTTTTTGCAACTCCTGAAGTTCAAATGGGATTCCATCCAGATGCAGGGGCTTCATTTTATCTTTCTCGTCTCCCTGGTTATTTAGGTTGCAATCCAACTCTTAATTCATTATTTATTTATTTTTTATCATTTCCAAGAATAAAATATTCTTAATCCTTTGGAATTTTAAATCCTAATTCTATTTTTTCTTGTGTTTTTTGCAGGTGAATTCTTGGCTTTGACTGGAGAAAAGCTTAATGGAGCTGAACTTGTTGCATGTGGCATTGCTACACATTATTCACTAAGTGGGGTATGTAGTTTCAGCTGATGTGTCCAATTTTTTACATTGAATAAGAATATATGATGATTTGTAATTTATTTAATGATTTTTACAGAAACTTGCATGGATTGAAGAACGCCTTGGTCAACTCATGACAGATGACCCTTCTGTCATATCAGATTCTCTTGCTCAATATGGTGATCTTGTTTATGTAGATAAAACCAGTGTTCTTCACAAGTAATGTTCTATTAATTCCACTCTCCATCTGCCATTTCTCTTTTAGTTGAAACTTGAAACATGGTTTGCATGATTTGTGTTAGTTGCATAAATTGGCAAAAAAAAAGTGAAACATTGTTGCGTAAATTAGTAAAAAACAACAAATATTGTTTCATAAATTGGTGAAAATTTACAATGTTGCATATTGTGGTCATAGAATGAACTATGAACCATTTTGCATTTATTTTTGTTTGCACAAATTGGAAAAAATTATAAGTATTACACATTTAACCCTGTTGAATTATGTAAGATTAAAGTGGCAGCTTGTATTACACTCATAATCATTACTAAATTATTAATTTACCCTTTGATTGGTGTTTTCAGGATCGAAAGAATTGATAAATATTTTTGTCATGACACTGTTGAGGAAATTGTGGATGCTTTAGTAAGTTCTCCCTCCTTCCCTTTAAGTGCCATCATTTTCTCAAATGTTTTTTAAATATCAATTATCAGTAATAAAAAAAGAAACAGAAATGGCATAACATGTACGCTTATTATGCAGAAAGAAGCAGAGTCGCATGATGAATTATGTTCAACAGCCTTAAAGAAACTGAAGGAAGCCTCTCCTTTGAGCTTAAAGATCACTTTGCAATCTGTGAGTGACCTAATCAACCTTTTTTTTCTTTTTGGGTAAATTTTCTTTTAAATTAAAATGTGGTGAAATAAATAAATAAATAATAAATGCAGATAAGGGAAGGTAGATTCCAACCTCTTGATCAGTGTTTGGGTCGTGAATATCGTACATCTTTGCATTGCATCTCTAAACAGGTTTCTGGAGACTTCTCTGAGGTATGTATGGCTTAATGGACTTAATCCCCCTAAGCTTTTTGACTTAATGTACCAAGGACAACTTAATAGAGAAGTTTAGCTCATTATGTGATAATTTCTTAATTAATCTTTCTCTCATTCATTGTAGGGAATTCGTGCAAGATTAGTTGACAAAGATTTTGCGCCCAAGGTACCCTTTTGTGTTCTTTAAGTATTAACACCCCTTATGAAATATGATTTTAAGTTTTTCAATAATTGATTTTCTTTTTTCTTGAATTTGATAGTGGGATATTCCAAATTTGGAAGCGGTGACCAAGGACATGGTGGACTCCTATTTTGCACCACTTCCTACTTCTGAGCCTGAACTAAACTTGCCCACAGCCTTGAGAGAGCCTTTCATGTGAACTTTCTAGGTTTATCAGAGGAATGTCCGAATGACACTTATGCCCTTCCTACCATAAAAAGTCCATTTTTGGCAAAAGTTTCGAGCTTTTAGTTGTGTTGATTTTGGTTTGTTAGATTGCCAAGTATTATTGATGTGTAATTTAGATATATTAGTTTAATTTACGCGACGAATGGTTGATTACACAGTTAGAAACCAAGGAATGCAAGTAATGGCAAGTTGTACCTTGGTAAAGTCAATGTTTTTGGCTTTCAATTGCAAAAAGAAAATGAAAGACGAGATTGGGTTTTTTTGAATAATACATGAAAATTTTAGATGTGTGTATTTTGAGTTAATGTTCAATGCATGTGTTTGCATTGCATGGTCTTGACTTTGACAATGCCTTCTACCATTCAAATCACGGGAGAAAATTCAAGAAATGGATTTAAGATATGTTTTGGCAAAATAGCTAGTTAGTTGGAAGGTGTAATTTTTATTTGGATGGTAGTTTTTATTTGTGTAAAAGTGTTTGGCAAAGTTAAATGTAAGCATTTGAGATATATAAAATTGCATAAAAGGCATGCAAATAAAAGACTGATTTTTTAAAGACAATCTAGTAATTTTGTTTACAATAGGCAGGAGCTTTTCTTTACACATGTTACCTGAAATAGTTTTTCAGTCGGGAGTTTTTGTTCTAAAATAAACTTTAAGCTTCGTGTACTCTCAAACTAAGGTTGTTTTTTTTAGTTCAAGTTTTTTTAAAGCTAAAAACTCTTGAGATCTCTGGAGATACCCCCGAGACCAGCATCACTTAAATTGTAATTGTGTTCCACCTAAAAATGTGGAATGGGGACACATTTTAGATTTATCATCCGTACAAAAGATGTAAATTCTCTTTTTCATTGAAAATAGTTTTAAAAAGCTCTCATGCAATCCTATCAAGTCTTATCACATGTAACAAACAAACACCGACACTCTGTCAAAACGATATACTTAAGTTGTACAAAAGTTTCAATACTGAACACATCAATCCTTGGGCCTCATTCATTACTTAAGATAGGGCATTGCAAAACATAACATTTTTGTACTATATTTTGACAAATTTAAACTTCAATTTCATCTATAAAGAAACAAATTACCCAAAAAAGCGAAACAATACTTGATAGTTGATGGAACTCGCCCTCGATCACTTGTTTGCACAAAAGACATAAATACTTTTCTCATCCTCATGATCTAAGTAGTCCTAAAAGTTTGTCTGGCCTTATCGCAAGTAATATAATGATTACCAGACATGTTCAATTTGAAGAGAGCTATTCCAATCTTTATAGAATGTGACAAAACTGTTACAAATCTTATAACAGAAAGGGAACAATATATACATATGCAAATGCAAAGAAATCAATATAGATTCATAGTTTTTTTTTTTTCTTATATACGCACGCAAGCATAACCTTATAAGCCAAATTAAGTGTAGACAGACACAATCAAACAAACAGCATTAGTAGTCTTTGCAACAATAATTACACTTTTAGCTTCAAAGGGCAATTAGTATACATACTAGTTAGTTTACTACACTTAAGCAGTTCTCCCATGTACCATATTTAGAGCTGAAAGTACCACCACCAGTTTGCTGAGCATACTCAGAGATAACAGCACGTGCACAAATGTCCCAAGTCCTTGCAATTTCTTTAAGTGACATCGGTTGTGACAGGCTTCTTAGAGATATACTGAACCTTGATTTCGCCTTCACTGATAGATCCTCATACTCCTTGCTGCAATCACAAAGGTCAAATATGTCATTTTACCTTGAAAATAATGCTATTTTCCCTAACTAAAACAAAATTAGTTATTACCTGATTTCGACTGGAAACTTATCCAAGAGAATTGGAGAACAATTTGGATAATTTGCAGGAACGAGCAATCGTAGAGGTTGAATAGGTGACTGTTATGAGATTCAACAAAACAATTTTTAGATAATTAAATAAAAAAGTAGGTTGCTATTATGAGATAACACTTACCATTTGGGCTGAAGCATATTGGGACTTTAAGTTGGGACCGAGAGCTCCTGCACTGAAGGAGCATTTAACCACGGTTCCCTTGGAGGCTGCAGCAGGGTCAACATCCTCCGCGCTAAAGCTAATATCCACCACAGTGTCTATGAGTCCCCGGTTTATATCCTTTATTTCTTCCAAAAGGGAGTGGTTTGTCTGCAACATTACAGAAGATTAAATATTAGTGTTACATACAAGAAATAGCAACAAAATATTATTATAGCATGCTACTTGGATTTCTTCGTAATCATATTACAACATTGGACTTTGAAAAATCTGTGCAGCTATAGAAATGTCATTGAAATACAAAGCGTTTTTCACTGCTATAATTAGGTTGATTTTTCAAAGTATAATACAATGCTCAAAATAGAACAAACTGAAAGTACAATACTAAAACTGGGTAGATTTTCTAAAGTACAATGCTTTCATAAAAAAATAAAAAATGAAACAAGGATGCTATAAGTATAAAATACTACACAAAAACGAAAGTAAATTGCTATTTCGTGAACTTATCCCTACCTTTTACATCAATGGTTCCTCAAAGTCAAAAAATCACCATTGATGCCAACTTACTATTTATGTCACAAATCAAGTTAATGTGGACTCGAAAAGATGGGATTCACCATTCCTAGTAAAGGTTGGGACTTGGGAGGCATTTGATTCCATTCTTCCATTTTTTTTTATTAAAAGACCAAAATACCCTCATTGTATACATCAAGCAGAAAGCAGGAAAAAAATTAGTACCTCAATCCGTGGCCTTTTGACTGCAACATTGAAAGGCATTGCACTTGTAAAGCATTTCATCTTCTTCCTGATGGGATTGGGATTGGAATTGGTTTCATCTTGAGTGATAAAAGATGTTTCTTGAAGATGACATTTTGTCATGGCAACCAAATCCTCACCAACTGCAGCTGTTGATCTGTTACCTGGTGCTGATCCTGTAATCCTATCAATCATACTCACAACCGAACCAATGTCACTAACAGAAGCACTCAATGCATTCGATGAAATTGATTTCACCTGTCAACCAAACAATTACAAAATGTTTTAGTCATACAGTTTTACAGGCTCTCTCAAAAACATTACAGATTTTTGCAGTTTACAAACTTACCACATTGAGTAACCTCTCAATAGGCTGTTCTGCAGCACTAGACTTACCAATCGATGTCACAACACCATTCCCATCTGGACTAGTAAACTCAGCCGATATGCCAGGTGTCCCAATAGCAAGAGATTGACTAGTCAACACTGCCTGCCCATGTCCAATGTTCACAACATTAGTCAAGTTGGCAGAGTGCATAGTTTTAAACATAGTTTGTCCCTCAATCTGTGGGGACACGCCACCTGGAATTAACTGAGTTGAAAACAGACTGCCACCTGGCATCATTTGTTGTTGTCTGAGTTTCATATCACCACCATCATCATGAAGCTGAGTCATCTGGTTAACTTGATTTCCTTCTGGTTGTCTGAACTGCTGTTGTTGTTGTTGATATTGCACAAGTTGTTTATGAAGCTGTTGTTGTTGTTGTTTAATATGAAGCATGTTTGTGTTCAGCTGTAGGGTACCCATTGCCCCATCAGACACCATTGGATTTATGCTCCCACTCCCACTCACTGAGTCAAGCATTGAACTCATCCTAGTCTGTTGAGAATTTGAAGTTGAACCCCCAGATAGAGAAGTTTGCTGTAGATTGACTGTTTGCATTTGGGAAGTCATTGGGTTTCCGTGTGTTTGTTGTGATTGTGATTGCATAAATGGTGGTGGTTGTTGTTGTGTGGGGGCGGGTCTCCGGCGATTTGAGGTGATGATATGGACAATTTGCTTCTCATAAGTAGTCAGTTTGTCTTTGTAGCTAACTAAAATGTTGTGCTTTTGGATTTGTAAGAATGCCATGAAACGTTCCAACATGTTTTTGAACACTTTTAGCTTCTCAAGTTGCTCGCTCTTTGGTTGCTGATGAAGAGAATCGTGCTGGACAACAAAGTTTTTTGTTAAATGCAAGAAATAGCAATGTACTTTTACTGATTGATTTATTAGAGCAATGTCAATGAAATATAAAGCAATTTTCACTGATATAATTGGAGTAAATTTTCAAAGTATAATGTCCTAAATTAGGTCCCTTAACAAGTGAAAAGCACAATGGGACTACAAAACCATAAAGATATGTATATGAGCCACTACTAACTTACCTGTAGCAATTTTCCAAGAATTTTCTGGTGCATGTCATTCAAATCTAGTAGATACAGATCCTTCATAGCTTTTATCTGTAATCAAAATAAAAACAAATTTGGAGTAACTGAAAATTACACTACAGATGCAAATCCCTCATAGATTTTATCTGATCTGAATTCTAAAAGATATGTAATCTCATATACAATACCTTTTGATACACTTCCTCCTGCCAATCTCCACCATTTTCATTTCCAGTCTGAGCTGTCCAATATAACGATGCAACAAAAAATTTAAAATCTGCATACTATTAGCTCATTGCAATTTGCAACAAACAAAAAAGTTTTTTTTTTAAAAAAAAAAAAAAGTGGCTGAAGGATACCTATCCCATTATGAGACACCAAAGGATTTATGTTTACTTGTTGGGCAGCAGTCCCATTCACTGAATTTTGCTGTAGAGAACCATTCATACTGATATTTTGTTGCACAGAATGCATATGTGGTGGTGGAGGAAGTGGTTGTGGTGGTGGCTGCTGAGTGGCAGCAGGTTTCCGGAGGTTTGAGGTGATGATATGGACAATTTGCTTCTCATAAGTACTAAGTTTGTCTTTATAGCTGACTAAAATGTTGTGCTTTTGGATTTGTAAGAATGCCATGAAACGCTCCAACATGTTTTTGAATACTTTAAGCTTCTCAAGTTGCTCATTATTTGATTGCTGAGGAAGAGAAGCATGCTGGAAAACAGTGTCTTTCGTCAAATTAAAATACAAAAAAGATTGTCTTTAAAAGTTAAGTGCTTTTATTGATTTGTTTATCATAGCATTGATCCTACTTTCATTTCATAAAATAGGTCTCAGGTTCAAGCTTATCCATAGGGGTGAGGTATAGTGGTATACCCTTTTTTTTACTTTCAGTTTTTCCTATTATAGCATTATACTTTGAAAAATCTACCCAATGAGAAGAAAAATAAACATACAATTATATAATAAGGTAGATTTTTCAAAGAGCCTAAATAACACTGTTAATCACCACCATGTAGCAAAAAATAAGGGGGGTATGGAACTTACCTGCTGCAATTTGCGATGAAGTTTCTGGTGCATGTCATTCAAATCTTGTAGATAAAGATCCTTCATAGTTTTTATCTGAAATCACAAGGAATATAGAAAAGATTTGGTTACTTGTAAAGATTTTATGTTGTAAACAATCATGATGCAAACTGTGATATCAGATACTTCCCCTTTCCTGAATGAATTGTAATTTCTTATACTGTACCTTTTCATACACTTCCTCTTGCCAGTCTTCACCATTTGTGGAATCTAATGATGCTACAAAAGAGTTATAAATTTCTTTATCATTGGAATGTAAGTGAATACATTATATAATGCAAAGTCTATTAAAAATACCTGGATCTGAGTTGTTTACACTATTAGCATCTGGCATGGGATTTTGTGATCTGGTTTCGATAGTCAATATCTTGAAACATGTCTTCCGCATATAATCAGACTGCAAACCAAATGAGTTACAGGATTTAAATCGCAAAGTACCTTACAACATATGGCAAACATGATTTCACTTCAATGGAAGTATTTATTTAATAAATACTTCCATCTTGACATAATGACTCCTGTAAAATCTTCATAACACTAAGCGAAAGCAAAAACTACAAAAATAAAAGAACATCAACAAATAGAAAATACAACAAACCTGACTTGTTGCAGTGGCATAAATCTTCTCTTCAAAACTCACAGCTACTTTCCTAAGCTCCTGTAGCCCCTCATCTCCAGAGACCTGAAGGTGCATCTTCATGGCATCCAATCTATGTAAAATTAGCATTTTTTAGTCAAAAGATGAAAGTATTTACAAGATATTTCAGGTTAAAATCATGATTTTGGGAATCAAAGAAGGTATATATAACCAGCCACATCAAGCAATGTAAGTGAAATTGTTATTTTTTGGATAATCCAACTAATATGAGACTATATTTCTACACATAAAGCTACACTATTAACAACAAATTCCCAACAGCTAACATCATCATAGTTAATGTAAGACTTTAAGCAGGTTAGCATAATCAGATTCTTAAAACACAGAATCATGAAATTTAATAGAAGGATGTAAATACACACATCCTGTTCACCATCCTTTCCCTTAAATCTGCTTGCAGTTGAGCCCTCCAATCACTAGATTCCATAGAGGAGTCACCAACATCGCCACTTCCATCCTCAATATGCCTCCAATTACTCGTATCCATTTCCTATTTGATAATTGATTTCCACTCCTAAAACAGAAGTATATTTGCAACAGTCAGAAATGATTTAACAATAATGAGAAAAATCATAAAAGAAGTGCTCCTTCCTATTAACATTGGAACCTAGAAGCATGATATACATAACTTGCATGATACTAATTAAAGAAACACTATTCATGAGAAAATCATTCAAATAAGGGTAATTAAGCAATATAATTTGTGTTTTATAACATAGAAGACATCAAAATTGAGAGGTGAGCATATGATCGAAAATTTCAGTAAGAAATACGTAGAGGTTTCGAATTCAGCAATCTACAACTAGTAAGCTTGAAGTTCCTGAATGATTTTGTAAAAAGAGCGTCAGCAATTAAAGAGTTGGAATTAGGGTTTTGATACGCAGTGCATATGTGATCGTTCTTTCTCCCTCTCTATCTGAAAATGATAAATCCAAAACAATCGAAAAGTAAACGATCGAGTATAAGGAAGAGAATGAACTAACTTGCGGGTGATCGGGTGTTAGGAAGAGTCAAATCGCATTAGGTTACCGGTGACGGAGACGTGAAAGATGATCGATCCTACTTCAACGAGAGACAGTGAACGCAAAAAGAAGTCGTAGACGTAGCAGTTGCAAACTATGGCTTACATGGAAATGGAAATGATGTAGAAGAGCTCAAAAACGCGGAGACAACTTTTTCTCATTAATAATATAGTTACACGATCAAATTTACTTTTACCGCCCACAGTTCAGATATAAGATGATTGATTCCTTGCGACTTGTGTCACGTGGCTATGGTAATCTTAAAAACCAGAGCTTTTATGAAATAATAAAAACAAATTTTTTTCTTCTTTCAATCTGAATTTTTATTTTCTTTTTGTCCAACTCATACAAAGTGTTCTACATTTTATCCAATCATATTATAGAGAAGAACTTAATTGTTGGTTACGTGATTTTAGGATCGCTTTTGTAAGGTGTTCTATAAAGATGGACGGAGTCAATGCGGATTGGCTTCGGGCTCAAGGTGGTACCGCGATACCACGGATAACACTACCAGTTAAAAACCAAGATTCACACGTTATTCAACTCATTGCTCTCTCTCTCTCTCTCTCTCAAACACAATATAACAAACTACCGATGCACCAAACGATTAACCAATTTCAGCTATCTCAAGAAGCTTCACAATTCCACTATTCACAATGCATTCTGAAAACCCAATTCTAATCAAGTGATGAACCCAACCCTCAAAGCCAAAATGAAGAATCAAGCGAGGAACCCCGACCCATCCCCAACAACTCACAACACATAGAAAGCCAAAAAATGGACCCAAAAAAGGGGGGTTGGCGAAGGCTTATATCAAACATTTTGGAAAACTATGACCGAAGAATTTAACAAATATTTGACCCTTTTTGGGAAAGAGCTCTAAAACACTTCAACCAAGGAGGTTTAGATTGATATAAGCATCAAATGAACTCCAAATGGAAGGATTTACAGGCAAAAAAGTTACCAAAATTTAATTGCATCTACAACCAAAAAATGTGTAACACCTGGATCCCGAGATATTTTATATTATTTTCAATTTTGGCATTTTTAAGGTTTGTCATGGCATGGTGGAGAGGTACCACGACGTGGCAATTCTAGCTTAGTTCGCGTATTTCATTTAAGCCGTCACGGTGTGGCAGTATAGGCCACGACGTGGCAGCTGGCAAGTGGCAAACCCTATTTTCTGGGTTTTGCTCCCCATTTAAAGAAATGAGCCCTTTTGGTGTTCTTTGAAGCCTTTGAAGGAAGAAATAAGAAGAAGTGAGCTAAGATTCAGCAAGCTAGTCCTCATCCTTTGTGTTGGCACTCTTCTGGACATTTGTTAGTGTCCAAGACTCAATTTTTATCATGATAGGTTGTTAGATCTTATGTTTTGTCCCTAAATCTTCATGTTCTTGTGGGTTGGAGTGATGGGATTTCATAAAGTTTGCAACTTTATGAATCTATGGGACATTTGACATGATTGTTGGTTTGGATCTGGTTTCTAGTTGGGTTTTGATCCATGCATGATTTCCATGGAAAAACCCTTATTTTGACTCATTATGGCTTCAAGTCATGCATTGGACATGCATGTCTATAAAGCAACAACTTTTGTGTTGCTTTTGATAATAGAAACTGAGTCATGGACTTTTCGGAATAAGTGAAAGTCATGTCTTATTTAGCCTATTTGAAATCTAGGGTTTGAGATTTTAACCTTTTGAGTGGTCTTAACAGATAAACTTGGAAACTTTATCCTTCTAGACCTGGTTTAGGACCAGATATGAGCTTTGGAGCTCTTAGGATCGCAGAAAGCAACTTAACCCATTAAGCTGCTGAAAACCCAGTGCCCACAGCGTGACAATAGGTCGCCACGGCGTGACGGTGGGAAAAATCGTGACGGACTGTTACTAGAGGGCCACAACATGGCCATAGGTGGCCACAATGTGGCGGCTGACTAAAGTTAACATTGACCGTTGACTTTTGACTTGAGTTAAAGTTTTTTTCGGTCACCTAGTTTGGAGGAAGAGCTAAGGGTTTATCTGGTTTAACTGAATAAGTGGTGCATTTTCTGTCAGTAAGAGCGGTAGCAGTTGAGCATTTTCTGTGAGGTGAGTCTTCTCACCACGCTGGTGGGTCGAAGGCACCAATACCGGCCTACTGATTTGTATATGTAGTATGTATGTGTTTATATGACTATTACTGATATGAATGTATGTTATATGCATGGAGCCAATCCGGGCTCGGAGTCATTATGGACTCAGGGTTGATACGGACCCGGGGGTTGATACAGACCCGACACAGCTACGTGTTGTTTCATGGAGTCATTAAGGACTTGGGGTTGATATGGACCCGGGAATTGACACGGACCTGACACAGCCACATGATGTTATATTTGTTAATGTATATGATGTATGTGGTATTTTGGGGAAGCTCACTAAGCTTTGTGCTTACAGTTTATTTTTATAGTTTCATGTATTTCCGGTACGAAAGAGAAGGGCCCAACGTGATGGCACAACATCCCCCTTATGTTTCTGCACTTATGATTATTGTTATTCTGATGTTTTGGATAATTTGTATCATGGTTGTTTCCGAGACATATGATGTATGGAATTAATGGACTTAAAAATGAAACATTTTATCACTGTTTTGGGACGTTGCAAAATGAAATTATGTGCGAGTGGAAGATCTAAGGTCAATATTTTAAAGTCGACACAATGTGAGTATCGCAAGCTCTATAAATTGAAAGCTTTTCCAAAAGATGAATTTATGTGCGAGTGAAAGATTTGTCATTTTCCATTCCATGAACCAAAAAACAATTAATTGTGTAGGTTGGGGGATGTTAGGGATGGAAGTGGGAGAAGGAATAAACGTTGATGTGGTAATGAGTTGACATGTGGGTTAGGATGGTGAGAAGGATTGACTCCCACCATCATAAGATGGGTATATTTACATATTATGTATCTCCTATTTTACTAAATGATTTGTAGCATAGTTGTATCGGATGTTGGTGGAAATGAAATGTGTCATTCAGGCTGAGGGTTCAAGTACTGCCTGGGACAAAAGTGTTGCAAAAAATATTCAAACCATAGATAGGAACCATATTATTGAATCACCAAGATATAAAAAAATGCATACATTTATTATGTCGTCTTCTTGATGCATAACTTAGAAGACAAAACAGAACATATGTGTCATGACCTTCCTCACAAAGACCGCTTAGTTTTCTTCAACTAATCTTGTTGATGGGGAAGGGGGTCCAAGTTGTCATAGAAATTGTTATTGTTGGGGACCAACTACATTTATACCCAAAAGATTAGAGTACCCATTAAACTCTAAGACTGATTGGTATGGTTCCAAGCATTTACGTTGCCAGGTAAGCATCAATATTCTTCTTCTCTCCACCACTTTTTTGGGGGTGGTGTTCCAAGCATTTAATGTTGTTGTAAGGTCAAGAAAGAAGAAAAACTAAGGAAGAAAGAGAGAAGAAGGGTGCGCTAAGCCAAGTTACGAAGAAAACGAGTTTTAACATAACGAGAAGCATGAATGGTGCTCCTCCAGCCATAATAATGGTGCTCCTCCAGCCATAATAGCATTGTGGTGGTGTCACGTTGTCTCCTCCACGACGTTTCATACCCGTACCGCACAGCCTAATAATGTCATACGTATGATATTTAATTGTAAATTGTTGAATAACTTAGTAACCTCAGAGACATATAGTGACCACACTTATGGTTAGTAATTTATAATACATCAACTTTATTAAAACTCGAAGCTTGAAATTGTATTGCAAAAGTTTTAGGCGCATTGCTACTCCTTTTAACTTTATTTCGTTAAAACAGCTCTGATTATATATTTATAAGAGGACTAAACCACTATAATCACCATACTTACACAACCAATGATATAAGATCAACTGCGGATGAAAACAACATACAACATAACCTATACATGTCTATTTTCAACTAGTCCAACTATATAGCCTTAAGTAAGGTCTACTTTATGCTAACATAAATAATGCAACGACTTGACTTCAAGACTGATAAAAATGGTACTTATGCAACATAAATATTTCAAGGACTTCAAGACAATGATAATATATCATCGATTTTATTCTGCAAAATATCATAACATGATGTATGGATATAAAGTCAACTAAAATCGACTTTTTTCTGTTGAATATCGTAACACAATGTATGGATATAAAACTAGTAAGTTCTAGTCCGCAGTTTCCATTCCATCATATTTCTTCTGTTTCTATATAATATAATGATGAACATAACATGAGAACTTTGAAGAGAACAATCACAACTTTTTATAGATTGCGACAAAAATGTAACAGTTTTAGTAACATAAAAAGGCTCAGCTCTACCACCCACTTGAAAAAGAAACTAAAATAAAATTGTAGCCTCTAACCCTCCTAAACATAAACTACGTTTAATTTGATATATATACTACTTACAATTTCATACAACCAAAAATTCTACACATCTTGGATGATATATTTTTTTTCTTAAATATGCAACCATAACAAATAAGCAAAAAGTAACTGTAGACAGATGCAATCAAACAACAACATCAGTAGTTTTTGTAACAATAACACTTTTAGCTTCAAAAGAAATACATTACTAGTTTACTACACTTAAGCAGTTCTCCCATGTACCATATTTAGAGCTGAAAGTACCACCACCAGTTTGCTGAGCATACTCAGAGATAACAGCACGTGCACAAATGTCCCAAGTCCTTGCAATTTCTTTAAGTGACATCGGTTGTGACAGGCTTCTTAGAGATATACTGAACCTTGATTTCGCCTTCACTGATAGATCCTCATACTCCTTGCTGCAATCACAAAGGTCAAATATGTCATTTTACCTTGAAAATAATGCTATTTTCCCTAACTAAAACAAAATTAGTTATTACCTGATTTCGACTGGAAACTTATCCAAGAGAATTGGAGAACAATTTGGATAATTTGCAGGAACGAGCAATCGTAGAGGTTGAATAGGTGACTGTTATGAGATTCAACAAAACAATTTTTAGATAATTAAATAAAAAAGTAGGTTGCTATTATGAGATAACACTTACCATTTGGGCTGAAGCATATTGGGACTTTAAGTTAGGACCAAGAGCTACTGCACTGAAGGAGCATTTAACCACAGTTCCATCAGCTCCCTCAGAGGCTGTTGAGGCTGCAGCAGGGTCAACATCTTCCGCGCTAATGTCCACCACAGTGTCTATGAGTCCTCGGTTTATCTCCTTTATTTCTTCCAAAAGGGCGTGGTTCGTCTGTAGCATTACAGAAGATGAAATATCAGGGTTACATAGCAACCAACTTTCATTGATTTGTTTATTACAGCATTCTACTTTGATTTCTTCTTATTACAACATTACTTGTTTAATAAAAACAGTACCTCAATGCGGGGCCTTTTGATTGCAGAAGATGCAGTTGAATCAAGTTCTGAAGTCTCACCACAAGTCAACTGTTTGAAGCTATCATTCATACTTCCAGCAGATGAAACAACATTTAAAGGCATTGCACTTGTGAACCTTTTCATCTTTCTAATGGCATTGGGATTTGTTCCCTCTTGAGTGACAAGAGTTCTTGCTTGAAGCCGACATTTTGTCATGGCAACCAAATCCTCACCAACTGCAGCTCTTGATCCATTACCTGGTGCTGATCCTGCAATCCTATCAATCATACTCACCACTGAACCAATGTCATTAACAGATGAACTCAACGCATTTGCTGAAATTGATTTCACCTGTCAACCAAAACTCCATTAAAACTTTTACTACTTAAATGGTGAAATAACTTTTTACAACTTTTTCCAATTTACAAACTTACCACTTTGAGTAATCTCTCGAGAGGCTGTTCTGCAGCACTAGACTTCCCGGACCCAATCGAAACCACAACACCATTTCCATCCGGACTAGTGAACTCAGCAAGCAAAGGGGAAGCCGAAATGCCAGGTGTCCCGATAGAAAGATTTTGACTAGTCAACACTGCCCCACTTAATTGCCCATGTCCATGTCCAATGTTTCCACCATTGGTCAAAGATGACACACCAACACCACTCATTAACTCCCCTGGTAGAGGAGAAGCTCCAGGTGTCGAAGGTGAAGGAACAGTAAAAGGCGAGTTAGCAGGTTTAAACATATTCTGTCCCTCAATCTGTGGAGACGCGTGTTGAGAAATTTGTGGGGACCCGCCACCTGGGATTAACTGAGGTGAAAACGGACTGCCACCTGGCTTCATTTGTTGGTGGTACCCCGCCCGCTGTCCCGCCACCTGTTGAAAAGTTCCCGGTTTCACACCCCCCATTTGCTGTTGTTGTTGTCTGAGTTTCATATCACCACCAGTATCATGAAGCTGAGTCATTTGGTTAACTTGAGTCCCCTGTTGTCTGAATTGCTGCTGTTGTTGTTGTTGCATGAGTTGTTGTTTCTGAAGGAATTGTTGCTGCATTTGGCGATTTTGAAATTGCTTCAGTTGTTGGCTTTGAAGAAGCTGTTCTTGTTGTTTAATATGAAGCATGTTTGGGTTCGGCTGTAGGGTACCCATGGGATTCATGTTCATTTGTTGGGACCCACTCCCACTCATACTTTGACCTGGGTCAAGACTAGAAGTGGGCTGCATTGAATTCATCATAGTTTGTTGAGAATTTGAACACCCGGTTAGAGAAGACATGGGATTTCCATTTTGCTGTGAGTTTCCCTGTAGGTTGACCGGATTGACCGTTTGCATTTGAGAACTCATTGGGTTTTCGTGTGTCAATTGGGAATGTGTTTGTTGTGATTGTGATTGCATATGTGGTGGAGGAAGTTGTTGTTGTTGTGGTTGTGGTTGTGGTTGTTGTTGTTGTGTGGGGGCGGGTTTCCGGCGATTTGAGGTGATGACATGGACAATTTGCTTCTCATAAGTACTCAGTTTGTCTTTATAATTGGCTAAAATGTTGTGCTTTTGAATTTGTAAAAATGCCATGAAACGTTCCAACATGTTTTTGAACACTTTTAGCTTCTCCAGTTGCTCGTTCTTCGGTTGCTGAGGAAGAGAATCATGCTGGACAACAATGTTTTTTGTTAAATGCAAGAAATAACAATGTACTTTTACTGATTTATTTATTGAAGTTTGAAAAATCTACCTGCTGTAATTTTCCAAGAATTTTCTGGTGCATGTCATTCAAATCTAGTAGATACAGATCCTTCATAGCTTTTATCTGTAATCCCAAAAAATATAACTTCAGGTTCTATAGCCTATTCTGACAACTCACTGGAGTATCTATAATTTCATCATATACATCACCTTTTGATAGACTTCCTCTTGCCAATCTCCACCATTAGCATTACCCGTCTGAGCTGTCGAATCTAATGATGCTACAAATAATTTACAAGATCAGCATCACGAAATAAAATTAAAAATTTGAGAATAAAAACACATGTAATAAAAACATTACTTGATGAAGCCTCTTGCATAGGTCTCTGTTGTTGGAAAAGCTGTTTCTGTTGATCAATTACATTCTGCTGCTGAAATCCACCTGCTGTTGGAAGCCTTTGTTGCATATTCCCTTGCATCATATTTGGCTGTTGTTGCATACCCACCTGGGCTGACTGTGTTTGCATATGTGGCATCACTTGCTGCTGTAACTGTGGCTGAGACTGTTGAACTTGATTTGGCAACAAACTCCCCGAATTTTGCTGATTCTGTTGTTGAACTTGAACAGGAATCTTGGATTGCATCATGTGTTGTTGCATTCCAGAGTTACCAGATTGAGTTCCAAGCAACTGCTGTTGACCACCTGATTGACTACTTTGACCAATATGTTGCTGTTGCATACCAGAAAGATTGTTATGTTGACCAATCAGATGCTGTTGTGGCTTATTTTGTTGACCTAACATCCTCTGTTGCTGTTGCATGTCTGAATAGGTATTCTGTTGTCCCATGAGCTGGTTCTGTTGCATGTTTGTAGCATTCGGTTGTTGCCCCATTGGATTTGACTGTGTTGGTTGTACTTGTACTTGCTGCTGTGTTGGTTGTACTTGTACTTGCTGCTGTCTTTGTTGTCTTAGAGCTGATTGTTGATGGTTCATTAAAGGCTGACTAGATTGTGGTACAACAGACTGTTGATTTTGAACCGATTGCATCATTGTTGGTTGCATGACAGATGGCTGCAACAAATTCTGTTGCTGTTGTTGTTGTTGCTGAATTTGTTGCATTGGTGCAATATTGCCTTGCTGGACTTGGAGCTTCTTATTTGCCATTTGTTGTAACTGTTGTTGATAAAGATAATGAGAGTTTTGAGTTGGTTGTTGTTGTTGTTGCTGTTGCTGCTGTTGTTGCTGTTGTTGTTGTTGAGGAGCAAGTTGTTGTTGCTGTTGTTGTTGTTGTCTTCCTGGTATTTGTCTTTGATTTGCAAAATTATTGGGGCCCATTGTATTTCCTACAGAATTTTGTTGAACTTGAACCCCTGACATATTTTGAATGTTCTGCAAGCTTGGATTTTGGCTGGAAACATTTGAAATTGTAGATTGTGCTAAGCCAGTGCCAGGTGGCATTGCAGCTGATAAGCTAGAAGAACCTTGGATTCCAGTTGAACCGAGGTTATTGTGCATGGTTTGTGACAAAAGTTGTTGGTTTTGCTGAGGATGATTAGAGGGGACAGGAATAGGAAGTGGTTGACCTTGGCTGTTGACTTGCTGCATGACCTGAGAGCCTGTTTAACAAACAAAGAAAATTAGGTAAAAGTGAAAATGAAGAAGAATATTATAGTCTATTTAGAAATACCTGGATCTGAGGGGTTTACACTATTAGCACCAGAGTTTGACTGCATAGTATCTGGCATAGGATTTTGTGATCTGGTTTCCATAGTCAACATCTTCAAGGATATCTTCCGCAAGTAATCAGACTGCAAACCAAATTAATTGAAAATTTTAGGTCACAAAGTACCTTAGAACATGTGTGGAACATCATATCATGGAAAAGACAACAAACCTGACTTGTTGCAGCAGTATAAATCTTCTCTTCAAATCTCACAGCTATTTTCTTAAGTTCCTGTAGCCCTTCATGTCCAGAGAAGGGAAGATGTCTCTTCAAGGTATCCATTCTATGTAATCATAACATGGATCAGTGATAAGATTACCATATGGAACATAAAATATATAAATATAAGAGAATGATGTGTATACGTATACACACATTTTGTTCACGATCCTTTGTCGTGAGTCTGCTTGCAGTTGAGCTCTCCAATCACCAGATTCCATAGAGGAGTCACCAACACCACCACTTGCACTCTGACCAGCCCTCCAATTACTATCCATCTCTTATTTGATTATTGATTTTCAGTCCTAAAATACAACTATATTTGCAACCATCAGAGACGATTTAGAAAAATTAGAAAGGTACTTAGTTTCCAAATATGAAGCACCCATCCAAGGGTTAAGTAAAGGTTCGAGTGGTGTGCACACAATAACTTCAGGTGTCTGGATGCGCACAGGATGTGCACCCATTAAGTAGAATTAGAAAGAAATGGATGCATACATCTATGTATATAGTGTGCCACACATATTTTTGAAATTTTCAAATCCATCCATCAGGTAAGGTGTGGGACAGATTTAATTCCAAATTTCCATGGTTCCTAGGCTTTAAGCTTCAAAATTGACGCGCAGCATCCCACGACTTCTTAGGTTTTCAAATCAAATAAAATTGTTATATAAATAGTAAAAAATCGGTGTTGTATTTACAACAAAAGAATATCGATTTTGCAATTGATTAGTACTAGATTTAACATCGGCACACTCAATTACTACTTCTATGATAGTAGCAAGGTTAAAGTCCCTGTTTGATTGAGTAAAAAGAGGGCCAGCAATTATATAGCGTACATACTTGAGAGATGCCTAATTCTTAGAATTAGGGTTTTGTTACCCAGCACACACCAAGCAAATGGACGTAGTCGTTCTTTATTCCTCTCTATCAGAAAATCATAATCCAACAATTTTCAAAAGTAAAACGATCCAGTATAAGGAAGAGATTGAACCAATTTGCGTGTAGTTGGGTGCAAGGAACAGTCAACTTGCAAAAGGTTACCGTGAAATGGTCGCCGGTGATGGAGACGTGGAAGATGATCCCTACACCGACGGGAGGGTGAACACAAAATGGATCGAGACAAGAAAATGGATTTTGGGATAAAAGTTTGAACACCGCTCACAAGGCTTACAATAATGATTAAAGGAGTCAATGACGAACATATATATACACCAGTGCATCTGGGTTTAACTTATAGAAAATGACCAAAATAATCACTAGCCGTGTTTTTTATAAGGTTTTACCCAAAATAGTCATAAAAATAAAAAGATTACCAAACTATCAAATATATTCTGGAGACTCAAAAATATTGTTGACATGTTAAATGTTATTTTTTCTTAGAAATTAAAAGGACGTCGTTTTGGTCATCATTGGCTGCGAAAATGTGGATGGTTGATTGTGAAAAATAACATTATGTATTATGTATGTTTTTCTTTTAAAGACATATATTGTCTTGTCACATTGACTACGAAATCACAATCGCGAGGTTTCGTACATATTAGATCATCTTCAACTAAGATTGTTCATTATTTGGATAAAATCGAATTGTCCAATTGGATAATTTGGATCAGACTGTTTGGTTCGGATATTTAGATTTTTTGATTGATTTTTAGCAAAAGCCGAATTATTATTTTAGATTTCGGATTGGTTTTGGTTTATAAAATAAGAACCGAATAGTAAAAAAAACAAATAATGTTTATTTATTTAATTGTTTTTATTATATCTTTAATCTTTTATAAATTTACTAAATTATATTGTTAATAGATTAGAAAACTTCATCCAATATAATACCTTAATTTGTATTTCTTATCAAAAATGTTTTTGTCTTGCGAAATACTAAACTACAATATATTTTTCTTAGTAGTTTTTTTATAAATTTTAATTCACAACTAAACTTTTTTTAGTTTATTTTATAGAGTTGGTTAATATTCAAGTTATATAATATTTAAAATGTTTTGTCTTTTGAAAACTGAATTGTAAAAACTAATCCAATCGAACTGTAATTTGGTTGGATCGGATAGGATTTGAATTCAGTTTGGATTATTTTGATCCATGTTTTGAAAACCAAAATCAATTTGAATTCACTTGATTGGATCGGATCGAACTCCTATCTTCAACTCACTTCTATTTTTCTTAAAAGAAATAGATTAAAAATAGGGTAAATAATGTTTTATTTTCAACCCTACTTTATTTTTTTACCCCAAAAGTATATCTATAATATATTTTATTTTTGTAGCTTATTTAGATTGTCAAACACATTCATTCTACTAATTATTTTTTAGCAAATATACAATCTATATTTTTTTCATTACAATGATATTAAATTATATTATCAGAAAATTATAACAAAATAAATTATTCGTGTATAATGAATTGAATTAATTATTAATTTATTGAAAATGATTATTAAATAAATAAGATTATATTTATAACACACTTTTAAATAAATATTATACTTGTATTTATAGAAATATTACATATATCGGTGGTAATTGACTATCTTCACTCATTGTTAGGGCTGTAAACAACGAACCGAATGAACATGAACGGATAAATGAGCGAGTTTTTTTGTTTATGTTCGTTCGTTTAACAAATTACATTGTTCATGTCTGTTCGTTTATGTTCGTGAACATGCTGAACACATAAACAAATGAATATAAACGAACGGAGATAAACAAACATAATTGAACATATATGAACATAAACAAACATATAATATATTAATGTAATAAAAAAATAGTTGAACATAAAATGAACTTAAAATTAATGAATATAAACGAACGTCCATGAACATATTGAACGAACAAGACTATTGTTCATGTTCGTTCATTTAACTAAACGAACAAGAACTTGTGTTTATGTTCGTTCATTTATTAAATAAACGAACATCCTGTCGAACGGTTTAGGAACAGTTCGTTAAACGTTCGGTTCGTTACAGTTCTCCTCATCGCATTGCGAACTATCAATATATTGTGCAGACCGTTATATATATTGTGCAGACCATTATCTGCAAAAATATGGTTGACTTGTTAAAAATGTTATTTCTTCTTGTAAATCAAAACGATGTCGTTTTGGTCATGATTGACATTTCTTCTTGTGCAGACCGTTATATATATTGTTCTGACCTCTATCAGTGACATTTCTCTTATAACTTCAATTAGTGTGTCAAGATCATGTTCATCCTCAATTATTATGTTACATAAAATAATGTATGTAGTCATTATGTCATGTAGTACTTCTTTTTTCTAAAAACAAGATGATCCCTCGATTTTTATTAGATTATTATTGTAACATAAGGGTTATCGTACATATTCATGACGTAGTATCATAACAGTTGAATATCGTAAAGAAAGTAAACACAACCATCATAAATATAATAAAAAGTTACATTGTTGCTTGTAATACATGTTTCAAAAGAATATTACAAATATGATGATTTAAAATGTTTTGATAACAGACGCCTTAGCGTTCCTTCTCCAAAAGCTGATGGTTACCTGTATTACTGATTCCCTGAGAAATACAAGTAGTTTTGAAAAAGTGTCAACAATTAAGTTGGTGAGTTCATAGGTGTTTTTGTACCGAAATTGGTATGTCTTTTAGTAAAAATAACTGAACATGTTTTCCAGAAAATCAAATATTTTCTATGTATATGTGATAGTTTGAAAAAAAGTTCCAAATGCTGGAATGCAATAGTATCTTTCGTGCTAAAATGGTGAAAGTGGATTTATACACATATAATGTAATTACTTAATGCATTTAAGAGTCTTGTAAATCAAACTTATTTTAATACTCCGTGTGAGTTTTATAACCATGCTATTGACCCAGACTGCCTGTAACAACGTTCTTCAGGCGTTGCAGTGTTATGACGTTTGTCACCCCAGACCTGCCGGTCTAACTGCAGCTAACAGTTTAGGTGGGAGATGGTCAATCCTGTATAGATCTATACACAAGTATCACGCTCTCCCTCCAAGAGATTATGGTTTATAATACAGGACTTGAAATGCGTACTTGAGAGTACGTTGAAGCTGAATGTCTCACAACACTTAGTATTAATAGATTTACGAAAAGATAAGTCTATATTTCTTGTAGATGAAAGTATTTCCTTTTTCCAGTGTTTATGTAAAGATGTAATGAATAACTCGTAACCTATACCCATTATAGTTTTTCGAAAGTGTGTTTCATTTGGTGATAAAAACTCGATGTAATACCAACTTTGCATGTAAAGTGTAACGTTGGTATCAATGTTATTTAACATTTATATAAATGTAGATAAAGTATTTGAATCCATATAAAACGATGCATATCTTAAAACATAAGTTTTTCTCGTATTTCACTTGTATTTCCCCCCTTAAAACATGAAAAAGACGTGAAAATGTAGGGGTATGAACTCACCTGGAACGTGTGGTGATTTGAAGAAAACGAGATTTTCTCGGGCGGCACTTCGACCGGAAAGTGGTGAATTTTTCGGGAATCTCGGAGCTTCGGACCTTCGTCGGGACTTAGATATGAAACCGGGAAGTCGGGATCGTTTCGGGAGGGTAGAAGTATGGAGTTTGGAAGAGAAAATGGTAAATGAGCAAGTAAAAGTCGGAACCCTCGCATGCTATTTATAGGGGTGGAAGCTGGCCTCGTACGTTGGGCGTACTCCGAAGTACGCGGGGCGTACCTCGTACTCTGGGCGTACCCTCGTACGCGGGGGCGTACGTCAGCGATGACGTCACTGGTCGCCGGTCTTCGGATGGGACGGTAGTAGAGCGTAGAGGGGCGGCGTGGCCGATCCGAGTCCATGAATCTCGTACGCTGGGCGTACTCCGAAGTACGCGGGGCGTACTCCTTCGGATAAGCCTCGATGTGTGTGCCAAAAACTTCAAAAATGCGTAACTTTCGCATACGAGCTTCGTTTTTGACATTATTTATATTCACGCGTAGGTGAGAATATACTCTACAACTTTCATTTAGACTTCGTCAGCTAATTTTGACTTTATTTTTAATTATATATTATTTAATAGGCCGGGACAGGATAATTCCGTTAAAAATCCATAACTTCTTCATCCGATGTCCGTTTTCGTCTGTCTTTTTACCGTTGCACTACTATTGTCGAGATCTTCAATTCTCGTTTAGGTTGCGTCAGCTAAAAATCGCTCGATCGTTAATTCGAATTTTTAGCTGTCTACTGCTACATCCAAAACTTCGAAAATCATAACTTCCTCATACGAAGTCAGATTTGGGCGTTCTTTTTATGTACGCTCACGGTTTAACATAATCTATGACTTTCGTTTAGATACTTAAGGCTAAAAAGTATTTTATTGAAATTTCACTTTTTACACTTGACAATGTTTTACCGGTTTTGTCGTGAATCTTCGATTAGTCATAACTTCTTCGTTATAACTCGGATTTGAGTGTTCTTTATATTTTTGAAAACCTTGACACTATATCTAACATTTTATGCAACCCAATTGAGACTTTTGAACAGTTCATTTTTGACGCTATTTTTGTTGATTCCAAATAGATTTTAACATCTGACTTTTGAACATTACATTGACTTGAAAATATCGGGTTGTCACATCATCCCCCCGTTAGAGGGAATTTCGTCCCGAAATTTAATCTAAGACAGAGTTTATGGACTAGGAAAAAGATGCGGGTACTTTTGCTTCATCTGATCCTCGCGCTCCCAGGTATATTCAGGTCCGCGCTTGGCATTCCAACGGACCTTCACAATGGGTATGCGACTTTGTTTAGTTCTTTTAATTTCCCGATCCATGACCTCTACTGTCTCTTCTACGAAGTGGAGACTCTCGTTGATTTCAATTTCGTCCAGAGGGATGACGAGGGTCTCATCGGACAAGCACTTCTTTAGGTTCGACACGTGAAAGGTAGGGTGTACGTTATTTAGTTCCTGTGGTAATCGAAGTTTGTATGTCACCGGGCCGATCCTGGCAAGGATCTCGAATGGTCCGATATACCTAGGGTTGAGTTTCCCACGTTTTCCAAAACGTATTAATCCCTTCCAGGGGGAGACTTTCAATAGCACCCGGTCCCCAACCTGGAATTCCAAGGGTTTCCGTCTTTTATCTGCATAACTCTTTTGTCTGTCTCTTGAAGTTTTTAATCGTTCTCGGATTTGGACAATCTTCTCAGTAGTTTCCCTTA